TATTCCTTTGAAAATCTTTTCTGGGAAGAATTTACAAAAGCCATATCGATATAACATTATATTAAAACTGTACACCCATTCTATATTTAGCAAATAATTTGCTAGATTCAGAATATCAAGTTGAATAGCAAAATTTGAACACTATTCTAACGAATGTAAAACTAGTACAAAATGAAAGTTGTATTTGCTAATAGGCAATTATGCATTTAAAATCAATGAAAATTGTATTTGCCGATAGGCAAAATTATGTATTTAAACTCTTAGACTGATCAAATACATTTCTTATTATTCTTAAATGTAATACATTTGACATCATTTTTTGAAAATTTCTCTTTAACAATCAAATTTGCTGAAACTAAAATCAGACGCCAATATTTTAAAAAAAGTTTTAAAACAATAAAAAATAGTAAAAAACTGTTTAAAATGTTTTTTTACCATCCCTATGCATAATATGATGTGATAAATTAGCGATTAATTAAAAATAAAAAAGTATAGGGTAGTAAAACGAAGTATTAGAAAGTTAATATAGAGAATGATATAAAGAGTGTAATTGGAGTGTAATATAAAAGTAAAGAAAAGTAAAATTATTTTCTCAAAATTAGTTTCTAATCGAAATTCATAATTTTAATTGGTTGATATGCCCGGGCCCCAAAGTACCTCTAAAATCTGCAAAGATCGATGATCAGCATATCTAAAATTAGTGACAAATCAAATTTGGGTTGTTTTGGTTACACAACCTTTAATTGCTATTTACTCAAAAAAAATTACTATGTGCCATAGGGTCATTTTCAAGGCAAAAACCCTATATGCATTATTATGTGCTTATATGGTATAGATTAAGCATTCATACATATTTCTTTATTGGTTCTAAATTTATTAATTTGTTTTATTATTCAGCAAAACAAATATTTTTTTTTAGTTAAATAATCGGATTTCACTAATGAAATATTTTTAAATAATACTTTATTAAGTTACAATATATAAACAGGATCTGCAAAATTTTATAAATAAAGTTTACTATTGACCCAAATGTGGTAGTGCTACATCTAAAACTTTTTTTTTTACTAAGACAATCAATCTTGTCAATTAATTAAAAGTTGTAAAGCTCATCAAGATGCATCTAATAGTGTAAGAGTATTAAAATTGGCTTGGTGATTCTTGAGATATCTTTAAAAAATGTCTTGCATACATATAAAATTCCTTTAAAAAAAGTCTTTTTTAAAGGAATTTTATATATGCACAAAACATTTTTTAAAGATATCTCAAGAACTACTAGGCTGATTTTGACACTCTTACACTATTAGATGCATCTTGATAAGCTCTACAACTTTCAATTAATTGACAAGATTGATTGTCTTAGTAAAAAAAAAGTTTTAAATGTAGCACCGCCACATTTGGGTCAATAGTAAACTTTACTTATAAAATTTTGCAAATCCTCTCCAGGTGACAAATGGATTATCAATTAACTATTATTAACTATGACTAATAATTGTATTATTAAAGATTGTGGTGATCATACTAGATTTGTGACTATAAAAATTACATAATATTATATTTTTTAATTTTAATTTTTGCAAACTAATTAAATATATCTTTCATTAGTTTTAAAAAACTAAAAGATATTTTAAAGAAAATTTAAATTAAAAAATTAAAATATTTATATAAAATAAATTTTTTAGATATAGATATTAAAAAAAAAGATAATACATATACAGTCAGACCTCTCTAAGTGCATATCATTGGAACCAGCTCTGAGATATGCATTTAGAGAGGGTTGCATTTAGAGAATACTAATAGAATTATAGTATATAAGCAACTGTCAATAGAAATTAAGCATATCTTTATTTAAAAAAATTTTAATGCCTTAGCTTTCATAGCTCATATCTCGATGAATTTTAAAGCTATCTTAATAATTTTATATTCAAAAGAAAGCTTATGCTTAAGCTTTCTTTTGAATATTAGACCATCAAGATAGCTTTAAAATTCATCGAGATATAAGCTGTGAAAATTAAGATATTAAGTTTTTTTTAAATGTAGATTTGCTTGATTTTTATTGACGGCTGCTCATATACTATATAAGTCACATGTTAAAATTATCTTGTATGGGATTATATAATCTTGTTTTGATTGGCTAATAATCATGTGATATGCATTTATGGAGAGATTTATATAGGTAGGCCAGAAAAATAGGATGCATATACAGAATAAAGAATATGCATTTATCTATTAAGCCCGTTGATGGGCCAGATACTTAATATGCATTTAGAGAGGTTATGCATTTAGGGGGGATGCATTTAGAGAGGTCTGACTATATATATATTGCTTAATATAATCTTTTTTCTAGTTTACTAAGCAAAATAATTATTTAATTTAAATACTTAAATAAAAAAATATTTATAATAATAAAAATAGAATTTTGAATTAAAAAAAAATAAAGAAAAATAAATACAGTATACTTTCGAAATTAAGCACCCCCTCGGAGCAATTTTTATAGTCAAAATTTTCGTGATCTAATAATTGGATCTACATAGTTTTGGCAAACTGATTCGAATGGTACCAAAATTACGTAGATCCGATTATTAGATCACAAGAATTTTGACTATAAAAATTGCTCCGAGGGGGTGCTTAATTTCGGAAGTATACAGTAAATAAAAATAAAAAAGAATTATTTGGTTTTAAAAATAAGCTATCTCTAAAAATATACACTTTTTAATTTTTTAAAGTCAAAATTTTACTATACTAATCACCAAAATGGTATTAAATAAACTTGTTTAATTTTAAAAAATTCAACATTTTAAAAATAAGTTATCTTTACAATTTTTATATCTTTTTTGTCAAAAAAAGTTACAAATTTATGAAAATATATAGTATATAAAAGTTTTAAATTATTTTGAATTAAAAGAAATTTTTATTTATACATAAGCAATATAAGCACCCCTCAAAATTTTTAATTATAAAGCCACTTTTTGGCTTCTAATAAAAAAATAAAATAAAAAATAAACAAATAAAAAATTCCTGATAAAATTTTGGTATGAACTACAGTATACCTTTCTCAATCCCCAACCCCACCCTTACCCTAATCATAAGCAATGGTTTAATTTTTATTCATAAAAATTGGGTTGATTGGCATATTACAGTATTACACGAAATTGCAAATAACAAAATTAATACCCATGTACAATTATAGCAACTAAAAAAAAGTAAATTACAATTAGATACTTAAATAAAAAAAGAATCAATTGTTGTAATTGAAATAGTAATTTTAATTGGCGATTCGCCAATAAATATATTAAATCTAAAAAAAAATTATTGTATATATGAGTGTCGCCAAAAGAAAACCCGACAATTTAAATATAGTCTATATTTAAACTGTCGGATTTTCTTTTGGCAACACATATTTATATTATTTATATATAGTCTTGTACATATAATGCATATTATGCAGATCAGCTAATTTTAAAATCCATACGTACGTACCTCCGATCCGGTGTTATAAATAATATATACTGTATATACGTATGTACGTATTAAAGATCTGCTCATACTGATTTGCTATCACATCTAAAAAAGTCGATATACTGTACAATGAGTGTCACCAGAAGAATTGTCATTTAATTATATATCATAAAAAATTAGCAAGATTCACGTCTGGTAATTAAGACTCAAAAACTCGAACACTCTTGGCAACATTCGAATATTATTTTACGCGTGCCATTTTAGATGACTTAGGGCCACCTCAATGAATTCAATAAAAAATCTGATTGGCTAGTTTGATAAAACTGACAAATCAGATTCGTTATTGGTGCTTAATCATGTACGTACTTTGTTACTTCATAACTCATCTTGACAACCCTTTTAGGAATCGAAAATTCTTTTAATATTTGCAGTTTGTGTATAAATGCCGAAAAAAACATTTCGCAAATCTTCTTTATGAACCGATTTAGATGTTGATACTAGAATTTAAACGATTAAGCGGCTATTATATATGTAATTATGATAATTATGGTTAAAGATCATATGATTAACGACATTTAATGTGATTAACCGCGCCACATAATTTTTTCGTTGTTTTCCAAATTATAATAAATATATGTGAACTGTGTCCATGAGTACTTTCCATAAACGTTCTGGAAATTACGAAAATTTGACTAAAATTCTCAGAGATAAATTTTCTATAAACAGTGTCATAAAACTGAGTGATGAAATAATTTCACTATTATTGCAGTATTGGTGAAATTGAAAATGAATTTCATCGACATCTCTAATCTCAGTACATTTAAATAGTCATTAACATAAAAGTTGAATTTATTATTGCTACCGTAAATGAGTATTAAGAATATATATATCTTTCTAACCAAATAAAATTTAAATAATTTTAAAAACAAAATTTAAAGTGCTATATTATTAAAATAGTTGATGCAATTGATTAAAATATTTAAATGAAAAATCTAAGACATAACTGATAAAAAAAATAACTCTAACCAAAAATGAAAAAACGACAATACCCGCCTTTCCTTAAAACTCAGGTTTTAAAAGAAAAAAAATCTATAGATGCTTATGTAAAATTTTTGATATGAATTAATAAAAGTTGTATTAGTAATTTTTTTTAAACGTTAAACGAATTAATGTTAAATTTCGATGAAAGAGAACGGTTGAATAACCCTTTTGATAGTGTATTTTTTGTACTATACATTTTCAAGTTTTTTTTTTCTTTTTTTTTTTTTTAATTCGATATAATTATGTTCACCAATTCACTTGCGTATGTTGCATTAATTTTCATTTTTTCTTTAGTTACCGTTAAGAAAGATCCACATTCCATCAAGTTTGTAAACCCAATTTCTTCAAGGTATGATGGCATTTGATTTATTATGCCGTTTGCTGATGTAATTGAATTTTGTCTGCTTCCATATTGCCCTTCAGACGATACAACAGTGTACAAAATAGATTGAACAGAATCAAGAATTGGTATTGTTTCACTGCTATTGATTATTTGTGACATTTTAAGATGTATTTTGAAGAGGTACATATTGATCTTTGCTATTTTCCATCGTTTCACTCTCAAGTCTAAAAAATATCCATATCCAACGCCTAGTGACTTCCAAACACTCCATCAAAAACACGCTAGGTTTCAAATGATCAATAATATGTAAGTGTGAAGAAAGTTTTAGTGACCATGTGAATCGAAGCAAAAAGTTAAGAAATATGGCAATATAATATATAGATTTTTCGAAGCTAAAGCGTTGACGAAGTTTAGATTTGTGCGGAGTAAAAAATGAGAGCTTAAAAAACGAAAGGTAAATGTAAGAAAATGAAAAAAAGTAAAAGATAAACAATAACTAAAAAATACTATTAGATTACCTTCCAATCTATTGCAACATCCCAATAGAAAGAATACATTGAATTAACTGCAACGGCAATAATCCTGAACAAATCCATATGTTATTTACTGTATTATTAAGTGATCAAACCAAAGATTTCAAGAGATATTTACCATAGGTTAAATATGGTTGATGGAGTAATCCAAGTGGCTGACGTAGTATCAAACACTTCGTATTTATCCCGTTTTTGTAATGCGGAAAACAATATTACTGGAAAAGCAGAACAATATTTGAGCGCATTAAATAAATGTATGCGGCCAGATTTTTTAGGATCTTTAGATTGTAGGTATTCTGCAATACACTGCTTAAATCGAATAAAGTACGGAATGCTTTTGTAATAACATTTGGCCAGGGACGCTGGATATCAGATGTAGGTTTTAATAGATCATAAAACAAGCATACCGTATACTGCCGTAAATAAGCACCCATAATAAGGGGTGTTTATTCATGGCAGTATTTGAAAAAAAATCAAAAAACTCTTCCGGAAGTAGGTTTAACACTAAGTAAACCTGTTCTCTGGCTCCAAGCAAGCCTGTTCTCCTGGTCAAGATGATTTCAACGTTGGTAAGATCATCCGAAATGGCCTCTCAAAGTTTGAGAATATTTTTACTATCTTAATTAAATGTTTGCAAACTTTGAGACGCCATTGCGGACGATCTACTGGACCGATTTTAACGTTCTTACCATCATTGGAATCGTCTTGATCTGAATAACAGGTTTACTTATAACTTGAAAGTAAGGTTTACTTATTAATGAACCTGCTTCCTGAAGACGGTTGTTTGTTTATTTTTTTCTTGGGGATATTTATTCTAAATCGGGAAATTTGTTTATATAGGGTGCTTATTCACGGCAGTATACGGTATTGTAAATCTAAAATTTAATGTTACCTTGTGAATAATGGTCCGATCACATAACCATAGTATCTATTTCCCATATCCTGACTCTCATTATAAATAAATAAAATACACATAGTCTCATATAAATCACCAAATACTTTTGCATAACTTGTCATTATATCTGCCAATATTTTATCACTAAAATAGACTTCCGAATCAAGTCCAGAAAATATCACCCTTTGGAAACACCTATTAATAAATAATAAATTCTATAAGTACGATAGTTTAATGATACTAAATCTAGTTGAACATTTACCTAATAAATCGCATTCTTTCACTTTTAAATAAAATGTTGAATGGACATAATATAGTGAGAAAGATGAATAAATAACAAAGTAATGTTATCCACTCCCATCGTGTTTGCCAATATGCAAATAAATTTAACAAAACCCATATGGACATAAATAATGCCAACTTATAAATCGGCTTGTGAGAGTTTTTTTTTCTGTCCCCCGTTAGGAGTGCTTGTGCGTCTATAGAGGCCCATGAAAGTATTTGTATATTGCTTCCCCATGCCCAAAGTCCAATAGTTGCAATTATGAGAACTCGATATTGTATGGGGAAACTAGTCGAAAAAGTCCACTCTAAAGAGGACAGTGGAGTGAACTCTGGAGTGGGTATCATGTTTTTTTTTTTTTTTTTTTTTAATAATTCTTTTTTACGAGTGCGGTACAGAGCACAAAATTCTATTGTAAAATGCGGAGGTTCCGTTTAATTATGATGATTTCCGTCGTAGTTTTAAAGCGGCCGGGAATTTTATAATATAAATATACTGTATTATTTTCACAGGAGTTTCTGAATTTTCGTTTACCGAAAAAAAAAGCAGGTTACAACATGTCGAAATTTTGTGCCCTGGTGCGGTATTAAAATTTTTAAACAGAGTTTAAATTTGGCCATGCAGATGTCATACGTAGAGAATTAGTGCTTTTTATTATTGACAAATTTAGGCAATCGCGTGTTTGACAAATTTAGAGGACGTTAAAACCAATGCATTGATATTTAATTAAATTTATTATTAGTATTAGGGATTTGATTGGCTCGGGTAATTTCGTGTTGTACCGGCTTAGGCCTTAACCAATCAACCAAATTTATACGTGGCATACATTTATATAGTTAAACATTTGAATCAGATGATACCGTAACTTTCCCTAACATGTGATAATTTATTTAAACCGTTTAACCGTGTAAACGTTTAATTGTCAATATTAAGATAATTTTACCCATGACCAACATAATTTAGTCCGAAACTATGGGCAAATTTTTATGCAGTTTAAAACGGTTCCACTCCTTAATGTTAAATTGAACGTTACAATAATTAAAAAATAATATAAAATATATAGATAGCTTATTCGGCCTTTTTTATTCTAACAACTAACTTTCTCACACTAATACAGTAATATATACATAATGTATCTAACCCTGAACAGATTAGACAAATTTGGTTTAGTTATTAAGACCACCGGTACAGTGCTGCTTGTTGTACACATATATAGAAAATTATAATTAAAGTTTCATCCATTGTCTTCATCGAAAAGAATTACTACGTAAAGAAATTTTTTTACTAAAAATGATCATTAATTATTTATTGTATTAAAGCCATTTAACTAAATAAATCATTTTTTCATTGGTGGCATTTATTTCCCCGATTCCCTGATATTTATGGCTGGCCTTATCTTAGAGTCAGTAACCTTCCTAAATCGCCCAAAAGTTGGATATATTCCTGTATTTGAATATTAACAGATATATACTATATATATTCTAATTCGCATGCCAATCCATCATCCATTTATCCGTATTATTAATTCAGAATGCTCAGATATCTGGATAATCCGACAGGTATATCCAGATATCAAATTCTAATCCGGATATCTGAATGATAAATGCTTAATGGATTGGAACTCTACGCATGACAATAATAAAACATAACGATAACTGATTTAGAGGAACTTTAAAACCAGGTACGTTAGGGTTAGTTTTTGATGCAGTTAATAGTTTTATTTGTATAAAAAATTTTGAAAATAAAAATATTATGTGTTATATGAAATGAGTCAGTAGAAACGCACCAACCCTTTTTAGGAATTTGTTTGACCTTTAAACAAGAATAACGAGAACTTATACAGATTTTTTTTAAATGAATTCTACAAATTTATAGAATTGATTTTATTATCGCGCTTTTCAATTTACTGTATCACTGAATCTGGAAATCAGCAATTTGATATTCGTACCCAACTTTGAGAGAAGGTATCTCGATAACCACCAGGCCAAATTTAACAACCTTTTTTTTATTTGAATTCTACTGACTCGTGAAATTCAAATAAAAAAAAAGTTCATTAAATTTGGCCTGACGGTTGTTAAGAAACCTTCGCTCAAAGTTAAAAAATTTAACGGGATTTTCTCGAACTTTGAGCGAATATATCTTGACAACCATCAACTCAATTTTGATAGAGTTTTCTTTTTTTTATTGAATTCTATACCTGTAGAATTCAAATAAAAAAAATTTCATCAAAATTTGATTGATGGTTGTCGAGATATATTCGCTCAAAGTTTGAGACGTAGCTTCTATTTGATAGACTTTGCTTTTTTAAAACGAAGATATCTTGGTAACTACCAGGCCAAATTTGAACTTTTTTTTATTTGAATTTTAGGGATACATAGAATTCAAATCATAAAAAAAATTATTAAATTTGGTTTAATATTTGATGAGATATCTTCACTTAAAGTTTGAGAAATTTTGGCGCAGCTTCTATTTTGATAGACGGTTTGAATTTTTTTAAAACTTTGAGCGAAGATATCTTGACAAATACCAAGCCAAATTCGATCACCTTTTTTTTTATTTGAATTATACAGATCTATAAAATTCAAATAAAAAATTCATCGAATCTGACTTAGTGGTTGTCGAGATATCTTTGCTGAAAAGTTTTATTTAATAGACGTTGAATTTTTTAAAAACTTTGAGCGAAGATATCTCGACAACCACCAAGCCAAATTCGTTTTTTTTTTTCTTTTTTGAATTCTACATGTTCGCAGAATTCAAATAAAAAAAAATGGTTATTGATTTTGGTTTAATATTTGATGAGATATCTTTATTTAAAGTTGAGAAAATTTATTGCCTTTGATAGACGAGTTTTTTAAAACTTTGAGTAAAGATATCTTGACAACTATCAAGCCAAATTTGATGAGCGTTTTTTTATTTGAATTCTACAGATTCATAGAATTCAAAAAAAAATTAAACATCATCGAATTTGACTTGGTGGTTGTCGAGATATCTTCGTTCAAAGTTAGAGAAATTTTTGATGCAACTTTTATTTGAGAATTTTTTAAAACTTTGAAAAGAAGATATCTCAACAGCCACCAAACCAAATTTAATAAAGTTTTCTTTATTTGAACTCTACTGATTTTTAGAATTTAAATAAGAAAACTTCATCAAATTTGACTTGGTGGTTGTTAAGATATCTTCGTTCAAACTTAAAAAAAAAAAAATTAAAAAATATGATACAAAAAAAAAGCCTTATTATTTAGCTGTACGAGCAATCAACTCTTATATATTAAGCGAAAATAGAAGAGGAATTTGGAGAGTTTTATTTGTTAGTAAGAAATTTAGATTTATTCGCAAAAAAGGATTTAAAATTAGGAAATTTTGAAGATTTCTGTGTGATCATGATCAAGCGCGATAAATAATATCAATGATATGTAGTTAATATGACCCATTGTTAACATTAAATACAGTATTTAATATTTTCGGCGTTTTGATATTTTTGAGAACAGGATTTAGAAATTATGTTCTCCTTTAATTTGTGAATTCTATAATAAGTTACAATTTCTCTTGAGAACTTTTGATTTTTTGAGAGCCTAAAAATTTGAGAATAAAAAATTCATTGATAGGAACTAGATATACAAAATGGCTGTAAGCAGTTGATGTCGGCTAACTAATGGCTCAGCTAACCAACGGTTCGGCAATTTAGAGCAATAAGTTGATCGTGAAGTAGCGTTAGAGTTCGGAATTCCGAAGAACTCTAATTGGCCAAAGTTAAAATTTCCAAAACAGTTGATTTTTTCAATCATCTTTCTCAAAATACTTGCTTAAAATTTTTAAAATTATATATTTTTTTTCTTTAAAAACATAATATTAATATCAATTATGCAAAACGCTTCTAATAAAAGTCGATCTGAAACTTTATATGAAAGTTAAACTTCCAAAAATAATAAGGCAAAATTTTAGGCCATACAAAATTAATTATTGGTTTTCGTGAACCGGCCGGGTCAAATATTGAAAACTTCATAGATTCTAGGATAGTTGAAAAAATTGCCGATGACCGAATCGATAAAGAGTTATTGATTCAAACTCGGTAGCTTATCGACTTGGTCATTGGAAGATTTTAGTTGTCCCAGAATATATGATAATAGCTGTAATAATCGGATGGATTTTTATTCGCGTTGACAGTAAGGTCAACAGATCGAAAGATAGTGCAAGGGGTATGAATAGATAACGAACGATAAGTGAATTTAATAAGCTTCAGTTTAGATATAAATATTACCAAATTTGACTAGGTGAAAAACAACCAAGATTTGCAAATACGTATAACGATAAGGGGAATCACACAGCCACCCTCCTCCAGTAGAATTCTGCCACTTTACATTTCTTTCATATTTACAAACTTCTGATCGGTGGTCGGCCTGCTGCGTGCAGGTGGGAAACCACCGGCTAATACTGCATCAATCGCACTGATGTATGCTATACATTTTAGGACATCTGAAAAATTGATGATGACCGCATCGATAAGTTTTTGATGTCGGCCGACGTCAATAACTTATTGGGGACTCGGCAACGTATCGATTCGGAATTTTTCAGATGTCTCAAAGATAATGAAACAGCTGTAATTAAACCCCGACCGGTAGCACCGGTTTTCATATTATGATAACAAAGGAATTAACTTTGTATAAAAGTTTGATATACCTACTTTGGATTAATTTAAAAACTTGGTTAACAATTTTCTTCAAAATGAATTTCCATTATCGTTATGCTCTGCTGTTATACATGATAATACGTAAAATGGCATTGCATAACTGTATCTATTTATTGATTGTGTTTTCGAGCCACTTGAACATCATTTTTTGCATTACAGCTATTTGCATTATTCCTGGGGCAATTGAAAAATCACAGATGACCGAATCAATTAGTTTCGACGTCGGTCAACGCTTATCTACTCGGTTATTGCTAACAGACATTATGAAATTACAATTGAATTTCGGTCAACTGAGACATAATATAATTTTGAGTTCATTAATGCTAATGGTATCAAGTATTTAAACAAGCTAAATTATTGACAGAGTAGTCATTAAATTATGAAATGTTGCCCTATTCACTCTTGATTTCTTGTGGGTAAGATAAAATTACAGTGCCAGCTTAATATTATCATTACAAAGGGAGATTTCCATGATCAGTGTTATTATTATACAATATCTTCTTCAAATGACAAGTATTTATACTCTTGTCGGCCAAGTCAGAGTTAGCGAACTTTACTATGCAATTATTCAGATAAAATCACTATATACTTACTAAATAAGAAATAGACGTGTATTGCTAGACTAAATTATTAGAAATTTTACAAAAAAAAAAAAAAACC